GCATTAAGAACAATGACTTGAACAATGTGACTAACCAAATCAAGTCTATTCCTAGAACAAGAAATGATTAGGTGCAAGATTCAGTTCGGGTTTTCGAAAACGTTTTCCAACTGGATTCAAAAGCCAAAAATCATACAACGGGTGATCAAGCCGATATAAGCATTAAGGGAAGAATCAAACACAAATAATGAGATCAAAATGCATATATTTAAGAAGAAGAGGAGTTAGTAGTTACATCCAACCAATCCTTAAGAAGTTTAGCCACACATGGCCATTACAGGATCAAAGAGTGAAAAGAAGAAATTACAAAGTAAAGGATGAAGAAATGGAGTTGATCTTCGTTCCCAAAGGATTCAGCTTCCAAATCTTTGTTCTCCCTTCGTTCTTCCCTCTTCACGTGCTTCTTCCCCGTTCATCAATTCAACTCAATTTTCCACTAATGGACAAGACAACACTAAAATCAACATAAGCAACACAAGATTAACCATTATTACAAACTTTTCTTACCTAAATTGCTCTAGAATCAAGGAAAAGAGGAAGAAATTATAAACCACAGAACTAGTCATATTACAACTTTTTTCTATAATTCTCAACTCCTCAACTTGAACCTTTATTTCTACTACTCAATATAGCCTTCAAGAGAAAGAAAGGAAACTTCCGATGGAATTAGATTGAAGATCAGGATTCTTTGGCTCCAGAGCCTATCCCTCTAAAACTTCTATATAGAATTCAAATAAATGAACTTATGAAGTTTAAGTTCTTTGAAAACCTTATATACCTTCCCCCATTCTTGGTCAACTTTAATCTCTATTCAAACAACTCTAAACAACTTAACTCATAAGAATTCTTAAGTCCTTAGAGCTTTAAAATATCACATAAACAACATTGAAATTTAACTGCACAAAACAATATAAAACATCATACAACATGCAACATACATATAAAATACAAAATAGTGTTACATTTGCTTAAGCAAGTCGTTTGATTGCTTAAGCGAGCAAAAGTAGAGTTGAGAGCACTTATAAAGTACTTGCTCAAGTGAGCTAGATGGTTGTTCTAAGTGAGTGAACATCAAAGATCATGATGGAAGAAAGTCTATGTAGGGTTTTTGAGAAAATAGAAAGACTCTTTGCATATTGTATATTTTAGATATATTTGAGGGAATAGAGTGATTAACATTAGTCATCATGGAGTTCTTGAAACTCCACCTTTGTTTCTTTGTGTGATCTCATTAGCCATGAATGGCTAATTCATCCATTATTAGGGTTGATGTAACTACTTGAATCCATGTAACTTTTTCCTGGTTTTATTCAATTAAAGTTTTTATTTAGTTAATTGTTTTTCTTTTTCTCTTAATACTTGTTTTGGCTTGACCCCTTCTGCATGATCCCATAAAATTAATTAAGGTTGGAAAACTCTTTTAAAACTATGATATGGAGAATAACACTAATAACACTTATTGTTAGGAATAAGATAGTAATTACCAGTCAACTTTTATACCTCTGATCTTCTAAATACATATTGCTTAAACAACTTCATCACCAAGGAATTGAGATTTTTATTAAGGAATTGATTTTTCAATTAATTAAATAATTATTGAAATTGGATGATAATTGGGAGGGTTACGTGTAAGGAAGGTTAGTGAAATCAATCTTTGATATCCCCTATTATAAATTTTTGATTATCTTTTAAATAAGTTTACTTGTTCTTTAAACCCTAAAGATGTGTTCTTTACTTATGCATTCTTAAAAAAACATTTTTTTCTTGATTAGCATTAAAATAGAATAATTAATTGTTACACAAGTAGCGAAAATAATAGATCAAACTTTAAATAGGAACTTATGACCTAACTTATTTAAAGTCTAGTCTGATCTAATTTATTTAATAAAAGAGTAAATTTATGTTTTTATTAAAGCCTATATATTTAAAAAGGATGGACTCATGCTTATAAAAAGATTTGTTAGGCTTGATAGTCAGTCTACCTATCTATATAATATACTAAAAAATAATATACATATTACATTTATTAACACTAGTCTACCTATCTATATAATATACTAAAAAATAATATACATATTACATTTATTAACACTATAATTAAATAAATAAATTTATAATATAAAAAAATTAAATTATTAATATTATTGACATTTCCATATGCTTAAACATTTTACATTTCTTATTCATATGAAATCAAGAAATTGAAAATAAAAACTCTAGTAGTCACATTTTTACCCACTCTTTTTTGTTCATATTCATGGTTATTTAGAATATTTCAAATTGAGATATATAGAATATTTAGAATATTTTTTTTGAATAAGATTATTTTTTTTTATCACAACGTAATTGTACATTATTGTATGTAGGTATGCATGGGTTGTTCCTCTTATTTTTATTTTTATTTTAAAGTCTAAATTTTAATAATAATAGACTAAACTATTTTCTTATCACACAAATTAAAAATAATTGCATGTGTATTTAAAAATAAATTTTTTACTTATTTAAAATTAAGTTTTTTGTGTATTTAACATTGTTAATGTTAAATATGCTTTTAAATAGATTAATAGGTCATATCATACTTTAAACTTAAAAAACAATTATGATATATAATAGATCAAACTTAAAACTTTAATTTTATAGAATATGTTGACCTAACTTATTATATTCTCATCTGTATACATAAGTCCATGTAGATTCGACACTTAAAACTTTTGTCCATTTTACTACTTATGATAATTGATACACTTATCAAAATTTCAAGCAATCATTTGTTTTAAAAATATTAAAATTTTAATTTATGAACAAATATGATGAATAAAAAATGAATTAGATAAGTTAAACAACTCTCTAAAATGCTTCTGTCAAGGAATTATTTCTAAAGACGCTTTTATACGAGATGACCGTTTACTTTTAATATATAGAGGTTGATTTGCTTCTATGCTTGTTTCTTGTATATCTCTTTTGATTGATACCTTGTCATGTTTGTAATTAGTATACATTATATTTATGATAAATAATTTATAGTAATATTTTAGCGTGTGTAATGTATAGGTTAAATATTTATTATATAACTAAAATTTAAAATAAATTATATATACATATAAATATTATATTTAAATATATAAATTATATTTTAGATTTATAATAAATAATTTATATTGTAGCATAATATTGTTATTTATTGATAATTTATTTTAAAATATTAAAATTTTAGTTTTCAAATAATTATGATAAATAAAATAAAATTCTAAAAACTTTCTCATCAAAGAAAAATTCTTAACACTTTTGCGTAAGATAAAAGTTTGTTTAATATTTAAGGATTGACATATAAATACGTATGATAAATAAAAAAATGAATTAAATAAAAAATTAAAAAAAAAATTAAAAGCGCAAAATACTCAGGCAACATGACTATTTGCTTTTAATATATAAAGGTTGATTTGCTTTCTGTACTTGTTTCCTATATAATCTCTTTTGAATTTTAGTATGTGTAATGTATAGATTAAATAGTTTTTATTTAAGTAAAATTTATAATAAATTATATATATAAATAAACACTATATTTAAATATATAAATTATATTTAAAATTTGTATAAATAAATATTTTTAAACATATAAATCATATACTTTTTGATAGCAATATATAAATTATATTTTAAATTTATAATAAATATTTTATATTATAGCATAATATTTTTATTTAATTCTTAAATAATTATGATAAATAAAAATTAAATTAGATAAGAAGTTAAAAAATTCCTAAAAACCCTTTTGTTAGATAAAAATTCCTAAAAATGTTAGAAGTTCACCTTTAATGGAGTTGATTGATTATGATACAACATTATTTTTAACTATTGCTATTATTTTAAAAATATAAAAAAATAATTTATAAATAAATATAAAAATAAAAAATTGAAAGATTTAAGAGTTAGAAAAAATTCTTAAAAATGCCTCTGTTCAAGATAAAATCCTTAAAATGTTTTGATCAAATAAAATAAATCTCGTCGCATTCCAGGTTATCATAATTTATATATACTAGTATTTTAACATGTGTAATGCACAAGCTAAATATTTATTACATGTACTAAATTTTATAATAAATAAAATATTATGTTTGAGTACATATATAATATTAAAATTTGTATATATAGATATTTTTAAATACATAAATTATATTTGAGATTTATGATAAATAACTTATATTATAGTACAATATTATTTTTTACCTATTGATAGTTTATTTTAAATATATTAAAATTAATTCATAAATAAATTAGGATAAATAAAAATTAAATTAGATAAAAAATTAAAAAATTCTTAAAAGTCCTCTTATTAAAGAAAAATCTTTAAAAATGATTTAAATATTCGTATTTAATATATAAGAGTTGATTAAAATTTATAATATATATATATATATATATTATGTTTAAATATATAAATTATATTTAAA